GTCATAGTCGCGTGCGTCGACGAAGCGGCGGCACCGCCTCAGCAGCCGAGCAAAGGCGCCGGCGCCGCCGTCGACGAGGGCGTCCTGCAGCCGCGCCGAGATTGCGATCTCGCACGAGCGGGCGACGTGAGCCTGCGCCGCGTGGGGAGGCATCGCCATCACCGCCCGCAGGAAGGAGGCCGTCCGGCCGCGCTGCAGCTCCGAGCTGTCGGCGGCGCAAGGGCAGGCGCCGCGATTGCTCGCCTCAAAGGTGGCGTCGTAGAGGGGCGTGTGGCCACCTTCGTCCCGCGCGTGCACGCTCGCGCCGTGCAGCACCAGCAGCTTGCAGGCATCTAGCCGCCCGTTGTACGCCGCGACGTGCAGCGGCGTCGCGCCGGTTGCATCGCGAGCGCTGGCGTCCGCGCCCGCCTCGAGGAGGACGAGCACGGCCGCGACGCTGGAGCTGAGGGCGGCGTGGTGCAGCGCGGTGCTTCCATGTGCGTCGGCCGCGTCGAGCGGCGGTGATGCCGTGTCGGCCACCAGCCGCTCGAGCTCCGACGCCTCGCCGAGCATCGCAGAGGTGAAGAGATCCGAGAGAGGGCCCCAGCCAGAGTCGTCGAAGCAAAAGCGGTGGTAGATCGCCGCGGCCGGTCGCAGGGCCATGTGTGATGAGACGCACAAACGATGGCAGCCAACGCACAAACGATGGCGTCGCCTGCCCCCACGGCTCGCCAGCGGACACACTGTTCCGCACTCGGCTGTGAACGCCGGTAAAGCAGCACCCCGTCCCCATCCAGGTTGTTGGTTGCTGCCCCAGGTCCCGCACTATGTAGGTGCACTGCTTCAGCAGCGTACACCTCGATCCTGTACCGTGTGTCTTGTGAGCCTGTTTGTGTCTGTGTGTCGCTCGTGCGTGTCGTCATCAATCATCTGTCTTGCGTCCACCCATACCGCGTTGGTGTCCAGTCCGAGCCTGACTGTTCTTCACCTTCCTACATACATACATACCGTGTTTGTTTATAAACCCCCCCAATGAACAAACCAGTGAGGGCAATTAGTGAGGGAGGGCGAGACGATCGTGGATCGAGGAGTCCCGTGCCATGGCGGAATCGACCCTATCCCACCAGTGCAACAGTGCGGGTGGTGCGACGTGCCCGCCGAAACATCGGTTCAAACGACGTTCACAGCGCCAATTCGGCCCCAGCTCTTCGGCCAGTCTTCGGCTCGCTCCGGCTCGCCGGTGAGTTGGTTGGTTGCTGGCAGCACGACCCCAGCACCGGGGGGTCCTGAGAGCTGTTGGTTGCCGCTCGATTCACAGCACAGTGCGGAACAGGGGTTGCAACCTGGTAAAAAGACGGCTCGCAGCTGGCCCGCCACCACATGACAAGACACATGGCGATTCCTCTTGGGGTGGGTACTAGGTGATTGTCGCTGATGGGGAGTGTGCGATTGTGGCAGTCTAGTCTAGCGTGCGTGCAGCGGTGGCTCGGAGCGTTACCGCTCTCGAGCCACGGCCTGTGGCCGGCTCTTTCCGGCACGGGGCCCGCAGCGCTGTCAGCCTACGTCTCTGGATTGCGCGGGTGGCGATTCCTCTTTTGCGTATTGCGGATGAGGGTGGGAGCCCGAGGATGTGCGATGTCTATTGGTGTTCTCGAGAGTGGTTTGGCACGCGCGCGCGCGCACACGCGCACGCCCGCGCACGCCCGCGCACGCCGCACACAGCAACACCCGAGACAGCTCCGACAGCACCCGACAGCTACAGAGCCCCTCGCCTGTCAGACACGCACCCGACAGCACCCGACAGCACTGACAGCACCTGACAGCTGGTCTGACAGAGGCACCTGACAGTGCCTGACAGCTGCCCGACAGCCCGACAGATCACCTGACAGCACCTGACAGCCTGACAGCCAGGGCTCAGCCCGTCTCCCCTATCGCTACCACCCCCCTCTCGCCTCTCGCGGTGTCACTGTCGAGTCAGGTGTGAGGCACAGGTGTGACGAGTTAAGAGTCCGGAGCGGCGCCCGGGTTGAGGGACAGGACCGTGACCGAGTCGCGAGTGTGTGTGCTTCCCTTCCTAGTTCCTACACGAGAGCTGTGTTGCGCAAAAGAAATCGCCGCCCCAATGTACTGGTGGCCAGACAGCGGCAGAAAACACCACGCAAGAGTACTTTGTCAAATAAATAACTAAAACGGTGGTGTCAAGGTGGCCTCGAGTGGCCTCTCGAGCGATTCTAAGATCAGGTCTGCCACCTCCCCGCTGGAAACGAAAATCTAAGTTTCAAATCTCGAATAAATCTCGAAGCACACTTGAATGCTCACTTGGCAGGTAACATATGCGCCACGCGCCCCAACCGCTCCTCTGGTCGCCGCCGGCCTCCGCGGCGGCGGCGATGTCCCAGCGCCACCCATCGGCCAGCCCTCAGATCGATCGATCGGCGCTCAAAGTCGGCTTCAGATCCGAGAACGCTGCTGGCGCCGCCGCCGATCCCAGCGGCGACGCCAGCAGCTTCCTCTGCTCTCCAATGCGCCGAGAAGCGACGCGGGGGTGCTCGGCCCGCCATGGACGACGAAGGTTCCGCCGGGCGCGCGTCAGCCGGTCCGGTGGCACCCTCTGCGCGCGGCACCTGCCGGCGCCCCGACGACAGCCGTCGCGCCACCGCTGATGGAGGGGCGGTCGGCGCCGCTGCCGCCGCGCCGCCGGTGGGAGGGGCACTGGTGGTGGCCTGGGCGGCCCTCCGCCGCCGCTCGGGGCGCCCGGGCAGCGGTGGCAGCCTGCCGCCGCACCACTTCGAAATGCCCGCTGACCACTTCGAAATGCCCGCTCGGCGGCCCGCGATCGGCGCTATTCTTTTTTCTACTAAGCAAAATTCAAGCCAATTGAGGAAACTGAAGCGGGCAGGCTGGAAGCACTGAGGGACGGCCGATTTTCGCCCAGTGGTAGACCTGATCTTAGAATCGCTCTCTCGCCTCCGATCACCCCTCCGTCTCAAACGGCGACGGCGACTCCACTCCCGCGCACAGCCGGCGCCGCTCCTCCTGCGCGCGCAGCCACACGGCAGAGTCGCGCACGCGCTCGCCGTAGTTTCGCACATTAGCCTCGAGCGAGGGTAGCTGCTGCG